AGTCATCTACTTTTGGGCATTTGGGCTGCTTCCATGTTTTTCCAATTGTAAATAAAGCAGCAATAAACATGGGGGTACAAGTATCTTTTTCGTAGTTCATTGCTATTTTTAAAGATCAAATCAATTGTCCACAACAAAACCTTACCACAAGAAGAAATTGCCCAATAAGGCTGCCTTTGCATTGGCTGGCAATCTGGCTCCAAATGAGGATACACCCAGCTTGGCATTCTGCATCTGCTTCTTGAGGAGGATGAAAACTGATGCCCTCATGGTGGTTCCAAAACATAAAGCTCTCACTGTCCAGCACAAAATAAAATCAAATTGCAGGGGGAGGAGAAGGGCAGTGACACAGAGCTGACCTTGTAGATAGAAGCACTTGCCAAGTAAGGGAGATAACTTTTTTTTAAGAAATCCCCCTTAAAAATTTTTTAAGAAAAAATTTTTAAGAAATTATTACTGCTGACACTGTCATAATTTTCTAGCAGAAAGAGCATTTTCACGTCAGAGAGTAAAAAAAAAATGTCATTTTTTTTTTTAAATCATGTCGGTGACCCTTCTCCATATACTGACTGGATCAATATGCACTAAGTATGCAATGCATGGCGTGACTAATGCAGTACGGTCAGCTACCTGGACACAGGGCAGACTATATGTCCCAAGTTTCCTCAAGTTAGGTGTGACAGATTTCCAGACAATGAAATGAGGGTGACCTATGTGACTTCCAACCAGGACCCTGAAGGAAAGTATAGCCCTTCCTCCTCTTTACCTTCTGTGGCAGGACAATGACACCCAGGATGACCTTAAAAGCCAGGTGCTGAAAAATGGAGAACCTCCATCAGCCTGGAGCCCTCAATAACTGTGGGGAGCAAAACACAGCTCCCTCCCTTTAAATTCAAGATATTTTGTCCCATAAGATAAGAGACATATATTTCTAATATGTTTACACCATCATCTATTTTGGGATGATCATAGCACATAGGCACATATGTGATTTAATTTAAAATATAGGTTATAAATCAAAATAAAAAGACCAACAATCCAGTATTTTTTAAAGGAGAAAATGAATGGATAATCAACATACCAACCAATATGAAGAGAAACTCAGCATCACTGGTGAACAGAGCCAAATGAACTAACAGGACAGTGAGGGGGCCTTCCTGATGGCACAGGGGTTAAATTCTCAGTGCTATCAAACAATCACCAGCCATTGCAGATGAGTTTGAAAGCCGGACAGGGAACTAACCCACATGGCACAGCAGACCTCTCCTGTCTCACCCAACACTCCCCTCAGCAGTGTATTTCAATAGATATGCATGTTCTTTCTGCTCCCCACTCTGTTTTTGGTGAATCCTCTGAAGCACCCCCTCCACACACATACACTTCTGGCCTACACCCAGTTCTTATATGCATAAATAAATCTAAAAGAAAAAAAAATCACAGCAAGATACTACTTCACACCCACCAGAACAAGTTAAATTTAAAGACTGGTAACACCAAAAGTTGGCAGGACGTGGAGAAAGCAAACTATTGTATCGTGTTAATGGAGTATGAAGTGGTATAACCACTTTGAGAAAGGACTTAGCAATTTCTCATATGTCACACACCCTATGACCCAGCAATTCTTACTCCTCGGTGTTTCCTAAGAAAAATGGAAGCATATATGCACAAAAAGAGGTATCTGACTTTTGAGAGCAGCTTTATTGATAGCAGCCAAACACTGGAACTCGTCCTGGTGTCCAGCAACAGCACAGATAAATAAATGCCTAATCATACAACAGAAAACCACTCAGTAATAAAAAGAGCAAATCACTGATAAATTCAACATGAATGAATCTTAAAGCATTTTTCCTTTTTTGAATCTTAAAACATTCTTGTTAAATTATAAAGAGTTACACAAAAAGATATACAAATTGATGGTTTATAAAGAGAAATCAAGACAGTAAGTCCCTAGGTAAGATTACAAGAATTTCAGGAAACAAGTGGGACTATCCAGGATGACTTTACTACATCTTGCCAAGAGGATGGGATTCACAGGTATATGTATTTATTAAAATGTCATGGAGTAGTACATTTAATATCTTTGCATTTCATAGTACATGAAATTACCTTGAAAGCATATATAAACATTGAATTCTGTTCATCTGCATGCTTAGTGTTAGGGGCAAAGTCAACTAACTTACTCTAAAATCAACCCTCCCAAAAAGGGGCTCGTGAATGTACAAAAAGACAGATGAAATAATATATAATAAAAGTGAGATGTTCACAGTAGAATCTAGATGGTGGATCTATGGGTGTACACTGCACAAAATTCTTTCAACTTTTCTCAATGTTGAAATTTTTTATAATAAAAAATTGGAAAACTATACAGACTATGTGACGCATGCAAAATTCCTTTGGGAGCATCTTGAGAAGAAGAGTAACCTCAAAGAAATAAGCAGCTTTCACTCAGAATAGCTGAGGATGAGAAACAAGACATCAATGTGACTCAAAAAGGACAACTGACACAGTGTAGAGTGTAGAGACGCCGCAGGCAGAGGTAACAGCAGTATTTCCACTGTGAGCCCACCAATTATAGATGTGCTTTGTGGGTGCAGTTTCTCAAATGACGAAGTAGGTCCAGTAAATTAACAGCAGGATCTTAATGATTTAACAACAGTTAATGATTCCCTCAAACAATGAAGTCAAGCTAGTTTTTGAATAAAGAGGAGTCCCTTAAAAATGATAAAGCTTTGTTTGAAAACTTTTCAGATTTTTCCCTATTCACCAACTACTCAAGAAAACTTCAGTGTGAGTCAAGACTTGGCCATAACCGAGTATGAAGAGCCTGAATTCCAAGAATCTGAGTTCTAATCTTGACTCTGCCACTAACCTGCATGTCTTGATTAATAAGACTCTAGAACTCATAAAAAAAAAAAATTGAACTACCCAAGAACATCACAAAGGACTGAATGAGAGATTTTCCAAAGTCCCTAGAGGAGAACAGCAGCCTTCTCACAGACAAGAAACCATCAAGGAATCCATGGGTGCTTACTATTAACACCGTGGTTTTAAGAAAGAGAACTGGGCACAGCCCTAATCTCTCTGCTATTAACCAGCAGCTCTGGGAGCTGGGCAAGTCCCTTAGACCCTCTGGGCCAATCTGTGGCAAGAACACTGCGACTTGATGTTTTCTCTTCTAATTCAACCACCTTGGAGTGCCCTTTAAGGCTCTTCACCCCTGGGGAGACGACAGAAATGCTTCACCCACTGCAAGTGAGCTAAACCCTACTCATCATTAAAGCCCTTGCTCAGATAGATGTCACCTGCTCTGGGGAGCCAGTAAGTCAAGTCAGACACTGCCTTTACACCTTACAGATAACCTGTACGAAGAGTCCTCACCACTGTCACGGTCATCAGCTGTTGATTACCGTAGTCAAGTCTTCGAACAAGACCTTGAGCTTCTCAACATAGCTGTGACATCATTCCAACTTATTATACACCTGGTCCCTGCACAGGACTCATCATACGCAGGTTCTCAAAGAAAAGGCATGAAGAAATGCATCAATCGACCCCTAGTGTCGCTCTGGCTCTAACATGCCAGCCAGGCTTGACGTTTTCAAATGCAAAGAAATAATGGCTACATCATTGTTTTGTTTCGTCGTTTAATGCTGTTCGTACTAAGTAGTAGTCACCACCATGGCTGCTGGGGACACCGAGATGGTAAAACATTGTCCCTGCCCCCACTGCGCGAGCAAATATTAAAACTTGTAGTTACTGTTTGAACAAGGTTAACGCTAGATTAAGCCAGTTCCCTCTTCCCCCATACTTCTCCCTTGCAGCTGCAGCTCGCTGCCTCTTTCCCCCACGCACCTTCATTCCTCCCCTAAAACTGTGACCTCTGTCCTAGCTGGCAAAAGTGCAAATTTCAGTGCCAAGCACGCGCGCCCTGCCACTGACAAGTCCCGCAGGCCCAGAAACTTCTCCCCTCCTCCCCGGGAATGTAACAGTCCATCTGCACCGCCCCCCGCCGCCCGCGATCAGTGGTACAGCCCCCCGGTCGCCCGGAAAGCCAGGGCCGTTATCGCCGACGCCCAGGCTCTGTGCGTGACTTTGGCGCGGGCTCGAGTTGCTTAGGGTGTACCTGCGAGGCCCGCTGCTCCTTCCAGTTCTTCATCTGGTCGCTGGCCGGGTCCCGGGAGTCCGCCATGGTGTCCGATCGGCGTCACAGAACGTCGCAGGCGACCTCCGAGCACGCGTCTCCACCCTCTACAGGCGACTAGATGTGCGGCCCCGCGGCTAAAGTAGGCGACTTCAGACTCCAGGCGGCTCCGCCCCGGCCCGCCCCCTCGGCAGGGCGCCTCCTGATTGGCCGCTCCCGAGGCGCTGGGACGCCAAGTAGGGGAGGAAGCAGAGGGCCGAAGAGCAAGGACTCGGGAGGGAAGGGGAGCTGACGACCTGGGGCCACTGGGATTGGATTAGGGTGCCCCGCCTCTCCGCGCCACACCCCCTAATCGAAGGACTCAGGACGAGGCCCCACCTCTGGGGACCTGACTCCTCTGGTTATCTACTTCCCACTGGCCCCTTCAGGACTGCAAGTTAGTGGGCAGGTTTGCTGAAGAAATGGTTAAGCCCTGCTGAGTTGGGCTTTGAACTGTATTAATATGTTCGCAGTTTTCTAAAAGTCAGAACTGCTGGGTTGAATTCTTCTGTGCAAGGCGAAGCTTTGGCATACCCTCGTGTAAGTATTGATTGCAACAAGGATTGATGGAATTTGGAATAAATAAATGCAAGCACTGATTCTGCAATTAAGTATAACCATTAATCTTACTCTCAAATGGTACTTTGTTTTTTCCTTTATCACGGACACTAAGCACAGAAAAAACGTGCCTTTAAAAAGAACAGAAAAATGAAACATTGTCAAGTTCTGACTGGTCTTAATAATGTAAAATCCAAGGAGGAGAGTCCCATATTTTGAGTATCTGCTATGTGCTAGACACTGCCAGACGTCTGCCACATTATATAGTTTAATCTTTGCAGCAATCCTTTGGTGAAAGTTTTGGGATATTCCATCTTAAATGTGAAGAATCTGCAGATTAAGAGAGATGAAGGATCTTACCTAAAACTTAAAAGCTAGCTAAGGGTCAGATCTTGGGCTCATGGTTTCAGAGCTGAACCCTGAATCACTGCTCTCCTGCCTTTGTTAGTGGAAGAACTTGATAGCTAAGAAGATACCTTATTAGTCAGCAGATTCTGTTTCTGAGTATATGCTATGTTGCTAGTACCATGGGACTATACTGTTACCAAGAAATGAATAAAACAGACAACTTCTGCACCAATCTTCACTGAGCCTCTCCTATTACTGATGCACACAGAGGAAGGTCTTTGGGGGATTTGGTGAGTTGGGGTCAGGATACACACACACAAACACATTATAGGATCAGGTTATATGTGTGTGTGTGCTCATATATACAGGTTGTGTGTGTGTGCGTGTGTGTGTGTGTCTCCTTAAAATAAAAAAGTGGTATATTTTTCATTTTGGCAGGATTGGCATAATAGCCTATGTGGGTTGTATATCCATGATTCCTGAAATCTCTCTGTCCCCCAGCTAAAACCCCATTTCTGATGTCTGTTCCACCTCTCCGTCTGTCTAACTCGCTGCATTCTTTTGGATGCCTGAGGTCTAACTCTTCCTTTTCTTGTATTTTCCAGAAGCAAGAACAGAATTTTCACTTACCCTTCTATCTCTACCCATATTATTTATTTTAGGAGAAGGTAGAACAAGTGGTTATGCTCCTCTGCTAACTCTACCACTTCCTTGCTGTGTGATCCTAAGCAGATTAACGCCTCTCATACCTCGGTATTTTCCTACATAAAAGCAATGTAAGAATCGTGCCTACTAGTTATCAGTGGGGTATGTACAGTTTAAACACTGGCTGGTACTTAAAAAGGTCCTATAACTGCTCTTCATTTTTACTTTTCACACTTCCTTAACTTTCTAAGCTTTTTTACTAATTACTTAAGATGGTGTGATTTCCTGCCTCGCTAAATAAAAACAACCTGGAGAGATAAGCAGGTGCTTGGGAAGAGGTACTCAGCCCCCATGTGCATTGGAAAGGTGCCAAATTTGGCTAGTTTTAAAAACTGCAATAATGTAGTTCCCCAAATTTTAGCCCCAGATGAGAAGAATTTTGAAATACCCCATGTCTTCAAAGAGCCATGTTAAAAGTAAACTAGTAAAGAGCCATGTTAAAAAGTAAGACATTTAGTAAGTTATTGACTAGCTTGTTGCTATAATCAAATGATTGAATGTTTCCCCCACCCTCCTTTCAGTTGCTAGGATTTATCTTTAAATACCGTGATATATAGAAATATGCCATCGTCTTCGTAGTTCTCAACTGTTGAGTTTGTTTTCAATAAAACGACGTAGGATGACTGGTCATATGATGTAGATATTTCAGATGTTCTTGATTTTACAAAAGTGTGATATTAATGACTTCAGTGATAAAAGTTCAATTTTCAAGTTCTTTGGAAAAGCAACCCACAAATTTATCTTTAATGGCCTTTATTTTTTTCTTCATTACACTAAACACAGTAGTGGAGACACTATTAACAGTGTAATTTGGCTGATGTTTTTGCTACCCACGCCATCCACACTTGCCACTGAAGTTTAAACTCCACCAGGACTGCGAGGACTGGGACCGTGCTCTCTGCTGTATTTATTGAACACTTATTCTCTGTCTCAACTTTTTGTGTTGATTTGCTCAGTTAACTCTCCCAGCATGCAGGTTCTATTTTCATTCTTAGTCCATCGGTTTGGAAACTGAGGCATAAAGAGCTGGACTAAATACCTTGCCTGGGGCCTCCCTGGCAGCTCAGCCGATTAAGTGTCTGTACTATAAAACTATGGCAGCTGGGGCAGCACAGGTTTGCTCCCCAAAGACCTCTCCTGTCTTGCCTGCTGCTCCCCTCAACAGTGTATTTCAGTCACCTGTTCTGTTCTCCACTGTGTTTCTGGTGATCCTCTCATCCCGCCACCTCTGGACTATACCCCAGTTCTTATATTCATAAATAAGTAAATCTTTCTTTTAATTTTTTTTAAATAGTTTGCCCAAGGTTGCACAATTATTCAGAGAAAGAGTCAGGATGCTAGCCCTGTTTGTTCATCTCCAGAGTCCATAGTTTGTTGAATAAATAAATGTTGAAAGACTCAACATTTAACTAAGAAAAATAATAAACACAGTTAATAAAAAGAGACTAGAGTCATGTATTGACCTTTGTTCTGTCTATAAACATTGTCCTGTGGGGTGGGGGGGGTGGGGTCTGTTTCCATTACTGTTGTTTTTCTCTATTTCTTTACTGTTGGTTTATATTTTAAAGGAATTGTTTCCAATGATAGATAAATGGAAAAACAAGACAGTTTCAAATCATGTCCTATCCTGTATGTTGACATAAGGTTTATGCTTCCAAGTAATGACAAATGAATTTATATTGCTTACATAGGTAGAAGTTATTCATCGGTTTAATAACTATAATTTAGTTTAAGTGAAAACACTTCTGAAAATCAGCCCTTCTTTGGAATCGAAACCTGTTTGGTTCCCAGAGATAATTCCAAATTTTGGTTCAGTGACAAATTTCATCCCAGATTTATTTATGTTTATGAATATAAACACATAAGCATTTTTTAGGTGTTGAATAAGATCATATTTTGGAAAATGCCATTTTTGTGATTATTCAAGAAATAAATAAACACAAAGGAAGAAAATACCCTGGCACAAAGCATAATGTCCTTAGCCCAGATCTAAAACCAAGCTTACAAAACAGTCCATCTTAAAAGTGTTCAAAAGAAACGCTGGCCACTCAGCTTTTGCTGGTCACAGAACTTCTATAGGCAAATTTTCTTTCCTCAGTATTTGGGAGAAAAGAATGAATAGAATGAGCTCTGTCTTGTTGGATGACATGTATACCAAGCAGCAGGAGAAAAGACATTAAATGAGATATTTATTGATTTCTAGTCTGATTCCATCCACTGTCTGGAAGGCTCAGGATGTTTTGTATATTTCAGTTTAACCCTCTTCACTCTGACCTTGTGAAGTAAAACTGGGGAGAAGGAAAACAGAGGGAAATGAACAAAACATAAGGAAAAAAGGTGGGTCCCCATCCAGAATGTCCTTGAAGGAAGAGCAGTGAACACCACCACAGCTACATGTTTCCAACTCACCCAGCCTCACTGGCAGGAGAGGGGGCAGAATTTAACCTTTACAATTGACTGTGCTTTGTAAGTGGTAGAGGCAGATGCCTCTGCAAGCCATGCCTGTGTGCTTTCCATATTCGCTCCCACCTTAACAGGAATAATTACTTAGGAGGAAGCAGCCCAGTTGTCTCAGGGTCTGACAATGGCCACAGTTGGAACTATCCTGAGGGGAACTCCATGTGTCTTTTCTTCCCAGGTCCCAGTCTCCATGACTGAACTGGGTGTTCAAGAAAAAGAAAACACAAGAACCAGAATTTGGACTTTGTTGTTAACATTTTTTTTTTTTTTAAGTAATGTGTGGCTTACTAGTAGAAGCTTGGAAAATGCTTGGAATAAAATACACATAAGCAACCATTTATAGGTGGTTATGAAAGTCTTTCTTACCAATATTTTCTCTCATGTCTATCTCTAATGTGTATGGTAAAAGGGACAGGAGGGAAACTTATAATGGCTGTTAACTTTCTATAGGAATTTTAGTAAGTGGACAAGTTGAAATGTGGTTATTTGGGGATAATGGAGAATTGCTATTCAGGGTACATAGATTTAGGCAGAAACCTAGGATGTGTCCTGAAAAGGGATCAAAGTAGGGGCTTTTTCATAGAGGCAATAGTGGAGGAAGAAGGATCAGAGGTAAATGAATTGTAAAAAAAAAAAAGTAAAAGTAGAAGAAAGGTCACTTTATCTGTCTTGTCAAACAGTTTGTTGTCACTCTTACTGGCTTCTTGGAATTTTGACATTAGGGTCCAGTCCGGGGGTTGATCCAATTTAGCGGGGACAAGTAAGCAAATATATCTGCAGTGATTTGCTCTGGGCCATTTAGTATGACTCCAGGGAAGTCAAATTTCCACAGATCATGAATACTAAGAATCAAACACTGTTGTTTGATTTTGTGTGATTTTGTCATAATGTCAATACAAAAAGCCACCTCAACTAATAACTGAATAAAACAGTTACAGGAGGATCTGCTTTCTTTATAGGTCATTGGGCTTAAAGTCACAATTTCCAAAGACTTATCAACAACCTTGTGTACTTTCTGTATATAATGTTGTGTCCTA